AGGGGCATTTTGTCACTTATTCTTCAATTCAAAAGAATATACAGTCGATCTACAAAGAGAAACTCCATTAAGATCACTTGTCTATATCCGTATATACTTCAATCAGCATGCTTGGAAAGTGTCCTGCCCTTAATGACACCCAATGCAATTGCATGGTGAAGAGAGCACACTGCCCTGGTGATGACTCCTATAGATTCGTGGCACAGATTTATCAAATATATCAGTCACATACAAAAAGTTAAGAACCACTGCTTTACATAAAAGAAATTGCTTGGAAGAAATTTAAGTTTTCTAAAAGAAAAACAGCTTTTCCCAGGAAAAAAAATAAAATTGGTAGAATCGCTTAAATGAACAGATATAAAACAAACAAAATCAAGGATTTCCATAGAATGACAGAAATACTAGTTAATAAATATGATTGTGGGGAAAAACCTTCCTCAAAATATTACCTGAGCCCTGGCCACGTGGCTCAGTTAGTTGGAGTGTCCTCCCATAAAGCACCATAGGACTTAGATGGGGAGTATGTAAAATATTTTACCAAAAGACATGAAAGCAAGTAAAAAAAAATATGTATTCTTGGAGAAAAATACATGTATTCTTGGTGAAAAATACCAGAATTTGAAATATATCAATTATTTCCAATTAAATTTTCAGATTTACTGCATAATAAGACTATAGTGGGAAGAGGTGGAAGAAATGTGACAAAGTAATTCTCCAATTAATCTTGAAAAATAATAAGATAAATTGTCAGCATATTTTAAAAAGAGGATTTTAAAGAATACACATGTCCTATAAAACATTAAACCATACCTATCAGATGTAATATAATCAAAATAATGTACTGATTCAAGACATACAGAGAGAAGGAAGGGGAAAGGAAGCACCACAGAGCCTAAAACCAGACCTCAGTACACACAGAATCATATGGTAAAGGTGGCCTTCAAAATACGTTGGGAAAGAACAGATGTTATGGGCTGAATGTTGTGTCCCCCCACATTCACATGCTGAATTCAGCCCAACCCCCAGTGTGGCTATATTTAGAGATGGGGCTTTAGACAGATAATTAAGATCAAGTGAGGTAATAGGGTGGGGCCCTAATCTAATGGGATTGTGTCCTGACAAAAGGGTGAGGAGACACCAGGACACTCCCGAGGAAAGGCCATGTGAGGGCAGAAGAAGGCAGCCACTTGCAAACCAGGAGGAAAGTCCCACCAGACACCCGCCATGCTGGCACCCTGAGCTCAGATTTCAAGGGATACACATATGATTATTTAAAAACAGTAAAACGCTGGATAGCATATAGATTATAAGCTCAAAGTAAGAACTTCTCTGGGCTCTTACATACCGAGTGAGTGCGGAGTGCGGCAATGGTTTTGGAAAGTGCCATTTCCCATAGTTCGTCAATGTAGGCTCTATTTACTAGGCCCTGGGTCGTATGTAAAATATGATCTTCAACCACAAAAAAGCTAAGATTGAGGGGAAAAGAAAGTACAGCTGTCAGAAATTACAGTTTCCATAGTATCTCCAGGGTTTGACAAACAGTAAGAGCTGCCACTAGATTCTAAGTTAATAGTCATTTTTTTCTTAAAGAAAGCTGTTTGGTATCATAAATAAAATCTGATTTCTTGGACTTCGAATTATGCCCCTGATCTTGATATCCTCTTAACTACTTTTACAGAAATTGGAGTTACATTTCTGTTAAATGTTAACTGTGTTATCCAGCAACATAAAAGGGAAGAAAATGTTTACAGGTAAAAGAGGCCAATTTTACTGTATTAAAAACACCAGGCAATCAATATCTTTTAAAAAAACAACAGGTTTCAAAGAGACAATGAAAGCTAAAATATATATATTTTAAGAACCCAACACACAAAATATCAAAATAATTACCCTTATTCTTATATGGACTTTCTCAACAAAGTATTGAAGAGTTATCTTACAAAGGTTTAAAAAAAAAAAAAAAGCGCACTTATTTTTTTACATTCTGCTGAGGCTTTTATATTTTTATGCATTTAAAATGTATCTTCAGCTCTCTTGCCTACATGTTCATACTAATTAAAACAATTCTTTAACTACAGAATATTTATATTTTAATCAAACCTATCAATTGCATTGAAACAATCTTAATCTAAAAAAAGAAATTTCATGAAACAATCCAATTTTTTTTCCTTTTCTTTTAACTGCAGAGCCATTATTTTGCAATTAGAAGAAGATGCCTATATTTGGGGTGTTTATCTGGGAACTGCAATTCCATACCAGTGCAGATACTCCAGATGAGGGTGGCAAACTCTATAACCCACGGGATGAACTGAACCCACTGTGAGTTTTTATAAATATTGCTTTATTGGAACACAGCCATGTTCACTCATTTGCGTACTGTCTATAGTTGCTCTCGCATCGCAACAGAGCTGAATAGTTGTGACAAAAAAACTTATGGCCTGCGAAGCCTAAAATACTTTACTATCTAGCCTTTTGAGAAAAAGTTTGCCAACTTTTGCCGATTATTTGGTTCCCTCTTGCCAAGAATGGGGAAATAAAACATCAAATATAATAATGTTTTTCTCCCTTTATCCACAAAAAGTCCTTTGCAACAATATAACATTGAAACCAACAGGACATTTCTTTGAAATCATCAGAAAGCCAAAACTAAACCATGTCGACAATAAGAATTAAAAAAAGAATTTCCCAATGAAAACTTGATTCATTTTTCCAAGTTGCACAAATCTGTGTATTGAAAGTGTATAAATTTAAACATACACCCATCCCCTCCCTCCCACATACACCCATATACCTACCCTACGATTTGATTAAAATACTTCCTGTAGCCGTCTAATGTTTCATGCTGCAAGGAAGCAAAGAAGAAAAGAAGTTATTGTTTATGTTTTGATACATTGAGACAGAGCTAATATCAGCTTTTTATTTTCGTAAGACTCAGTTCCCAAGGCTGTTGGGTAAATATAATAATAGTACCTACCTTGTAGGGTTACAGTGAGGGCAAGAGGAGACTTAGAACAATGCCTGACACATAGCAATCAATAGATGTTGTTGCTATTTTCTGACCTTCATCAAAAGTGGTCTCAGTCTAACAGTTAAAAAATTTTAAGCACATAGGCAAAATAATTAAAAGGTACCGGAAAAGAAAAGTGAAAAGGTGAGAAAAGCGAAGGTGGTGATCCTACCATGTTAGATGGAGGCTGGAGCACCAAACGGGCCTGTTTTCGCCTCTGTTTTCGGTAGTAGTTCTCAAATGTTTCCCGGGCACCCTGTAAATAAATGAAAGGAAATGAGTTGACACAAATGGATCAGTTACTCTAGTTTTCATGGGAAAAGAGAAGCTCCAGGGTCTGGAACTGAGGCATCCCACATTTCTCAAAATCCGCTATTTGAACAATGATAATAATCATAGAAAAAATAAAAATAACTATTATCACCCGGCCAGGAGTGGCTCAGCGGGTAAGCGTCGACCCAGGATCCAGGCGATCAGGGTTCGATTCCCGGTCAGGGCACATGCCTGAGTTGCGGGCTGCAACCGATCAATGACTCTCTCATCATTGATGTTTCTCTCTCTCTCTCTCCCTCTCCTTTCCTCTCTCTGAAATCAATAAAGATATATTTAAAAAAAACAAAACTATTATCATTTGCTGAACCTTACTTACAAATTCTGTAGGGATAGATACAAAAGATTCTTAAGAGGAAACTACCAGAACTCAACCTCTAAAACACCAAAGCCGGTTTCTGAGTCAATTATCACAGATTCACAAGAATAAAGACAAACCAAAGTTCTCATAGGTTATAATGAGTCGAGAAAATGTTTCTTAAAAAATCATACAGAACATTCCAGAAAAAAAAATGTCCAGAACAAAACTGAATCATGAGCAAAGGGCCAAAGATAGGCAGGAAAAAGGGCAGGAACCAAGGACAGTAAATCAGTCTTCCCAGATAGAATATATTCTAACACAGAATTGACATGGAAGGAAGGAAGAGAGGGAGGGAAGGGGGAGGGAGGGGAGAGGAAGGAAACAAAGCCCTGGAAATTGTTAGTGCATAGTTTCCACTCTTCATTTAGGGTTTCGGGCTTAGCTGTAGGTGCTAAGGGAACAAGAGTCTCCTCCAGAGCTCTGTAACTGGGTTGAACTGAATAGTGTCCTCTCAAAATTCATGTCCTTCCTGGGACCTCCCAGTGTGACCATTATTTAGAAATAGGGCCACTGCTGACGTAATTAAATTAATATGCAGTCATGCTAGAGCAGGGTGGCCATTAATCCACTGTAACTGGTGTCCTCAAAAGACGGGAGAAAAGACACAGAGATAGAGACAAAGAGAACACCATGTGGTGACAGACAGAGACGGGCATGGTGCTTCCGCCAGCCAAGGAACACCAGGAACACCAAGGAGTGATGGCCACCACCAGAAGCTAGGAAGATGCAAGGAAGGATTCTGCCCAGGGCCTGAGAGGGAGGATGGCCTCCTGACACTTTGATTTCAGATTTCTAGCCTCCAAAACTATGACAGAACAAATTTCTATCATTTTAAGCCACCCAGTTTATGGTAGTTATAGCAGCCCAAGGAAACTAATGTAAGTTCAAAGCTTATAAAGCATGATGTTCCCCTTAATACTAAATTCTACTTTTAATCCAGGACTTCTCTAAATAAACAAGGAAAGGGGGAGACAGAGTTGACCACTGGTTAAGAGCACTAATTTTGGAACCAGAAGACTTCATTCAAGTCATGGCTCTGCCCCTTACTAGCTCTGCTACTCATATGACTAGCTGCATACCTTCCCTTTCACTAATCTAACTTCCACTATTTCACGACTTAACTTTCACAAACAGATGTCCTCACTTGTAGAGATGCCAACCACACAGAGCTATTAGAAAGATTTAGAAGAGTTACAAATCTTTTAGAACAGCGTCTGATAAATAATAACCACTATGCAAGTACTTGTTTAAAAATTAAATAAGATAAATGAATGAAGAAAGTGAAAGCCCTGCCCATGTGAGAAAGTATAAACTTCCTACAATGCCCAGTTCAGTTTCCATCAACTTCCAAAAAAGTCTGAATAATTTTACCCAACATGACTTCTCTGAACTGGGAATGTTGATTTAAGGCGCTAAATCATAAGAACTCAGTAGTGCAGCTTAGGGGTCACCAAAGTTTTCTGTAAAGGGCAGGATAGTAAATATGTTTAGGCTTGCTGAGCCACACACTCTTTGTTACAACCACTTACCTCTCCTGTTACAGGGCAAACACAGCCACAGACAACACATAAATCGGTGTGGCTGGGTTCCAAGAAAACCTTACTTGTGGAAACTGACATTAGAATTTCATATAATTTTCACCTGTCATGAAATGTCATTCTTCTTTTGATTCTTTACCAACCATTTAAAAATAGAACCCATTTTTAGTTCACAGGTCATACAGAAACAGGCAGCAGGCAGGATTTGGCCCATGGGTCACAATTTGTTGACCCCTGGTGTAACTTAAAAACACAGGGTTTAAAATGCCGAAGCGATTATAACTGTACACACCTGAGTTTTTCTGCCTATAAAATCAAATCAAACACTAAGACAGCTATTTCAAGGCTTCCTTGGTTCACAAGTTAATGAGGTAGCAAATGATTTGGTTTAAAAGTAAGAAGTGGAAACTGCCTGTTGGTTTGTTCAAACTATTCCCCACTTGTCACCATTTCACAGCATAGTGGTATTATTAAATGTCAATTGCATTCTGCACACACTGAAGGGCTTTTCATTTTCAGGTTAACAGTCCTAAAGGCCCTTTATTATTCGGGGGTGACGTTACATATTCAACACACTTTGGAGCCAAGATACACTTAGCTGAGAATTTAGGGAAAGCCTTCTCTTTAATTACACCATAGTATACTAATTTCATTATTTGTTATAAATGACAGAAAATACAAAAGATGAAATTCTATACAAAACCAAATCATCAACCTCTACTTAATTCTCAGCTAGATACAGTTTTGCCTTTCAAATAATCATTCAATAGAATAAAAACATAAGAAAAGACCAACTTATCTAATTTACAAAAATTAGTTAGATTTTCCCTAGTGACTGATAAAAAACAAAAAAAGCACCTCTGATTATTCTATTTCCTCTGCCAATTTTGTCTGCTTGGTGCCCACAGGTGGAATTTGAGAAGAGCTGGCTGAGCCGTCCGGCTGAGTAACTGATGAGGCGCCTGCCTAGTCACAAGGAGCCAGGAGGTGAACTGCAGAGGGTTCCGCTTCACCAGAGGTGGAACTGCTGGATCCTATGGTAGTTCTATTTTTAATTTTTTGAGGAAGCTCCATACTGTTCTCCGTAGTGGCTGCACCGATTTTCACTCCCACCAACAGTGCACAAGTATTATCTTTCCTCCACACCCTCGCCCATACTTGGATAGCAGCCACCTAACAGATGTGAGGTGGTATCTCATTGTGGCTTTGATTTGCATTTCCCTGATGATTAGTGATGTTGAGCACTTTTTCATGTACCTGTTGGCCATCTGTACCTTTTGGGTTTTTGTGTCTTTTAAATTTTGTGCCTCTGAATTGCTGTCTTGTGTTTTTAAGCTCAGTAAGGCAAGAAAACACATGTTTTAGATAAGCTTCATTCAGGCATGAGTTATAATGCTGTTAGCCATGAATTCAATATTAATGAATCAATAATATATATTGAATAATGTGTCTTTAAAGAGAAACACACATAAAACAAGGTTATGAATTGATTGGCTGGTGAAAATGCTGTGATCAGAAGCTCACAGAAACATAACCCTCTATTTCCCTGGGAGCAACGGGTCAGTATTCATTAACTCAGTGTTTATAGTGACTTTATAAAATGTAACTACCATGAATAACAAGAATTGACTATATCTGGGGGTGTTGATAATAATGACCTCCTCTGGATTAACATGTTTAGTTTGTGAGTTCCAAGTGCTAAGTGTTTGGGAGCAGGCATATTTGGCTCTACAGCTCAGGGGGAAGAGCTAAGCTAGTGACAATGGACTGCAGGATCATTAGCAGAGAGATGGTAACTGAAGCCTAGGAGAAAATGAAATAATCTAAGGAATATCTGTAGAATGAAAGTAAAAAAGAATCTAACACAAAAACTCCAAGTGACATCAACAATTTAAAAATGTCTGGCTCTTTCGTGTAACTTTAAATGCCAACTACTTAGAGAAGATTTTCCTACTACTCAATTTAAAATGGAAAGGCATGCCTAAGGCATAGCCCTCTTTTAGTTCTTTGCGTATCTCTGTCTACATTGTTGTTTTCTTGTTTGTCCCATTTCATTTGGATGCAAACTCCATGAGAACAAGTTTCCTGCTTATCTTGTTTATTGTTGTGTTCCCAGCCCCTGGGACAATGCCTGGCACATAAATGGCATTCAATATATATTACTTTGAATAAATGATTAAAAGTGTGAATAAAGTATCAATCAATATTTTCTTTTAAGTCTTCATTTTCATATCTACACATTATCTGCTATTGCAATGATCATTTCTTTGTAATTATCCCTACTTATCCCATCCTGTTGTTTTTCTATCTCCATTTATTCTTTTAAAGAACCTTGTTCTTGTTCTTGTTTCATAGAGATTATGACTTCTTCATCCCAAACAATTTTCTAAATTTCCTTTTGGTTCACATAGAAAATTATTTTTAGAATCATGTTTCCTCTAAACTTTTTAGGATGATGTTCCTTTCGCTGTTTTATCTGTGTGATTTTTCAGATCTCAGAGTTTGTTCTGTACTGTTTCACTTTCCCAATCGCTCTCTTTTGAATGACAGGAGCACTTTCTGGAGCACAGGTTTGGTTTGTGGTTTGTCTTTGGCCAACTCACCATTCATCTGGCTGTAGAGCAAATGCCCTTATGGAGGTGGTAATTTATAGCAGGTTGATGTGCACAGGCCCAAAGCTGTAACAGAGACAATCCACAAGCTGATTCTAGTGCCTAGCAAGCAACTGGCCCACTAGGTTCACATGAAATATGGTTAAACACTCTCCTCCTGCACATTTCTCATGTTTAACTCTCTGAACTTCTTCAAGCGATTGAAAACCACACTAATACAGGGTATTGCTCTCTTTGCTCTTGTATAGCACTATTAAGTGTTCAGCACAGAATGAGCTGGGCTGCCACCAAAGTTCCTCTTTCCCCCTCGCCCCACAATCTGGAAGTCTTTAAAAGGAGAATCCCTGCAGTACAGGGGTGGACGCCCAATGTATTCATCAGTTCAAGGTCGTATTTTCAAGCCAGAAGATATACA